TTCTTCTTCTCAGTCATAATTGAAACCTCTCTTCAGACACAAAGTCAGCAGTGGACAATGGGAATACCCCGAGCGCATGACCCCAGCTGGTGACTGGGGCCAGGCTGGCCCTGAAAGCCTCTGGCGAGGGAGGGGCATGGTGGCCCCCGCGCTCTGCGCCCGCACATGGCCGAGCCCCACGCTCGCAAGGGAGCTCGGAGGCAAGACGAGCCAAGGACACTCGGCGTGTGTCGAGAGCCTATGACAGAGTCCCAGCAAGCCGACTGTGTTTGGTTTGTGGAAGGTCATTGCTCTTACGAAGAAAACAGTTGCTTGAACTCCTAACCCCCACCCCACCCCACGCGCCTCCGACAGGTGGGCGGGGTCCAGTCCTGGGTGGGCCGCCCAGCTTTCTCCCTGGAGCTGCTGGCGTGGAGCTTCCAATCACCTGCCCCAAATTCACCAAAATGGTTGGCATAATACGAAATTCGCCTACATCGACTGAACAGAGGAATGGACAGGACTAATGCCTCGATTGTTAACCAAATATTGCCTAGTTTCTAAAGAAACTCATTGTGCCTGACCTCTAGTTTCAGTGAGGACCCTGAAATGGGTGTGCTCCCCCTCCTTTGGGGCCACCTGACGGCGAGGTTCCAGCCGGTTAGGAGCCGAGCTGTGGCAGCCCCCTGGCCCAGCCTGGACTAGCCCCAGGGTCTGGGGACGGGCTGCAGGCTTGGTGTTCTCTTCCAGAAAATGAGGTTAGCCAAGACACCTATCTGAGGGGTTGGGGGTTTTTTGGTAAAGATTTTATTTATTTAATTTTAGAGAAAGGGGAAGGAAGGGAGAGCGGGAGAGAAACATCAACATGTGGCTGCCTCTCACATCACCCTCTCCCACGGGGGACCCTGCCCGAAACTCAGGCATGTGCCCTGAGTGGGAATTGAACTGGTGACCCTCTGGTTTACAGGCAGACACTCAATCCACTGAGCCATGCCAGCCAGGGACTGGGGTTTTTGGTGTTTCTTTTTTAAAATTTTTTAAATGTTTACATTGTAGTAAAATACACGGAACATAAAACTTACCATCTTAACTACTTTTTAAAATCCTCACCCACTCAAGGATGTGCTTACTGATCTTAGAGAGTAAGGGAGAGAGAGAGAGAAAAAAAACATTGATGTGTGAGAGAAATGTCCATCGGAGGCCTCCGTACGCACCCTGCCTGGGGATCAAACCTGCAACCTTTCCGGTGACCCAACCAACTGAGCCACCTGGCCAGGGCTTAACTTTTTTTTTTTTTTTCCTCTTTAATGTGTTGTTGCCTCTCGTGCGCCCTCTACTGGGGACCTGGCCTGTAACCCAGGCAGGTGGCCCGACTCTGGTTCTCAGGCTGGTGCTCAGTCCAGCCAGGCGAGGTTTGTCTGTTTCTAAGTATCCGGTTCGGCAGTGTTTGGTACAGTCTCACTGTTGCAGCCTCCAGAACTGTTTTCACCTGGTGAAACCGAAAATTGGCACCTGCGAAACGCCACCCTGTTTCTTCCTCCCTCAGTCCGTCTTTAGGAATTTGAGACAGTAGGCGCCTCTGGTTAGTGGAGTCATACGGTGTTTGTCCTTCTGTGACGGGCTGATTTCACACAGCACAGTGTGCTCAAGGATCATCCATGCTGTAGCAGGTGCAGAAGCTCCTGCCTTTTCAGGGCTGAGTACTATTCCCTTGGATGGATGGCCATGGGCTGTTTATCCGCTCACCTGCCCGCGGACACTGGGCCGCTTCCCCTTTCTGTCTGTTGTAAATAACGCTGCTGTGAACATAGGTGTGCAAGTATCTCTTCGAGACCCTGCTTTCAATTCGTTTCTGTATATGCACAGAGGTGGGATTGCTGGGTCATATGCCAGTTCTATTTCCAATTTTTTTAGGAACTACCATACTGTTTTCCACAGCAGCCACACCGTGTTACATGCCCACCAGCAGCACACGAGAGTTTCAGTTTCTTCACATCTTCGTCGGTACTTTTTATTTGCCCTGTTTATTTTTGGTTTTGGATAGTGGCCATCCTAATGAGTATGAGGTGTTATCCGATTGTGGTTTTGATTTGCATTTTATTAATGATTAATGAATTTTAAGCCTCCATGTGCTTGTTGGCCATTTGCTTATCATCTTTGGAATAATGTCTGGTGGAGTCCTTTATCCATCGTTGTTTGGAGTCGAGTTGTTTTGGAGGTTGTTTTCAGGACTTAGGAGCCATGACACACGCTTTGCGTGGTGTCTGGAACGCAGCCAGCCAGGGCCCACGCACGTCGGCTCTTAGGTTTCCTGACGCATGAAGCAGTCACACTCCAAGCGCTGCTTCTCGGGGGGGATGGCGGCTAGAGATCGGCAGCAGCCCCGCCCCTCCCCGCCTCCCCGCAGACTCCAGGCCTTGCGCCCCTCCCCCCGTCTCCCCAGCATCCTTCGGCCTCACTCTTTCCCCATCTCGGCCCTGACCCAGGCTGGACTGTGTCCCTGCCTCAGGGCCCCTTACTGGCCCCCTCCAGAGACGCTTCTATCACACAGCTGCCACTCTGTGTCTGGGGGCATGGGGTCCCAATGTGACATCTGACCTCCCCAAGCCAAAACAAAGGGGAATGTAAGAAAAGGTGATTAAACTTTTAAAATAACCTTTTAAATAAGCTACAGGGCTGGCTACATGAATTATGAAGCCCAAGCCACTGTTCTGTACCATATACACAACATCCACTTTTTTTAAAAAAATTATTTATTTATTTTTAGAGAGAGGAAGGGTGGGAGAAAGAGAGAGAAACACTAAGGTGGAGCTGCCTTTCACGCGCCCCCTACTGGGGACCTGGCTCAAAACCTAGGCATGTGCCCTGACTGGGAATCGCACCAGCGACCCTTTGGTTCACAGCCCCTGCGCAATCCACTGAGCTACACTAGCCAGGGCCACAACATACATTTTTAAATAAGATAAAAAATAAAAACAAGCTGAAGAATGTCCAGAGGCTGGTATCTGTGGAAAGGCCCTCAACTCCCAGGTCCACGGGCCCACCCAGCCCCTTTCTCAGGCCATACCCTGGGGGCCACTTTGATGGTGAGTTCTGCCTTCTTCCTCACCCCCACCCCCATCTTGCAAGGCTGCACCCCTGGGCTGCACTGCCCCCTCCCCAGACACCCCCTTCCCCTTTGCCCATCGGGCTGGTCTGTGACCCCCCCCCAAACACGCCTGTTTATCGCTTTCTGAACGAGATGTGGTACTCGTTCCCTCTGATGCACTCGCCTTCGAATCAAATCAACAGTGCACAAACGAGCATCACGTGACTCAGAGGAATAGGCAAGTGACACCCGTGGCGACGCTCTCAACCTTCAACAGGAGGCAGAGAAAAAGCCGCTGCCGAGAAAAGAAAGAGCGGACGCTGCGGACACTGCCCAACCAGCTGCATCCTGGGGTGTGCGCTGCGCCCACGCCCGGGGGTCCAGAGAGGGGAAGCGGCCGGCTGGCCTAGTCGGTCCGGAGCCGTGCACTCGCCCATCCCCCCCAGTGACACGGCCCTGCCTCCTGCCGCCTGTTTTTTTGCTTGTGCTTTCTTCTCCTTAGCACCGATGGGTTGCTTTTTGTTTTTGCACTATTATCACAAAATCCCAGTTTGCGTCGCTTCGGGTTGATTTTTCATGTGAGCCATTTTGCCCGGTAGTCTTTTTGGCGGGGCCGCCCGTGCGGGGATGGAGGGAGAAACCCCCCATAGAGGACAAAGCAGGCAGGCAGGGGAAGGGAGGCCGGAGCAGCAGGTGCAGCTGAGGACTCCAAGGCCCCCCACCCCCAGGGCTGCGAGCTGGCAGCCCCGCCCCGCGCCGTGGGGCCGACGGGAGCGCCCCCTGCTGGACTCACGTTCCCTCTCACCGCCCCAGGTGTTTCCACGCTGGTACCACTCACTACAGCACCTGGGTTCCATTCTCCCCTCCAAACCAATCTTGGGGATTCCGTTCAGCTGTTCAGTGAGAGGTTCAGCTCCCCAAATCTCAGGGTAGCTGCTGCTTCCACAGACCACTCCCGGGAGCAACCCTCTTAGGTGGGAGTCCCTGGGAGACTGGGTTTGGACTTCCATCTCCACCAGTCCTGCCAGGGGGGCTGCCCCTGAGCAGGGCAGGCAGGTAGGCCCCACGGGCTAGGTGTCCCCAGAGAGGAACTTAGCAGTGACTGACAAGGACCGACACTCCCTTTGGAGCGAGCCTTGCTGTCCAGCGGCGCCTGCGTGGCTGGCCACTGTATCCACTGCCGTGGCTCACGTGTCCTCCTGTGGGCCGCGCAGTGGGGGTTCACTGGGTCCCCTGGGGAGCCAGCGAACGGGCTCCTGCTGCCTGGAGCGGGTGTTCTAGCAGGGAGGGGACATCGCACAACCAGTTACAGGCCTGCCATTTAAGGGGGCCCTAGGGGCTTCTCAGGGGGGACCCTCGGGTCAGCGGGTGTTGAATATAGGGTTGTGAGGTGGCAAGTGGAGGTAGTTTGGGCAGGAGAACTTGGGCCTTTAAAAAGAATTTTATTCCATTTTAGAGAGAGGGGAAGGGCGAAAGAGAGGGAAACATCAATGTGTGGTTGCCTCCCGAGCGCCCCCTACTGGGGACCTGATACAACCCAGGCGTGTGCCCTGAGGGGGACTCACACCAGCAACCCTTTGATTTGCAGGTCTGCACTCAATCCACTGAGCCACACCAGCCAGGGCAAGAACTCGGATTTAAACATTTTTTTTCAGTGACAGTTGACATACAATATTGTATTAGTTCCAAGTGTACAGTGTAGTGGTCAGACACCTATATACCTTGCAAAGTGATCACCCCGATGAGTCCAGTGTCCGACTGGCACCATATGTTTATTAACTATTATTGACTGCATCGCCTATGCCTTGCTTCACGTGCCCAGGACTATTTTGTAACTGCCTGTTTGTATTTCCTAAGCCCTTCACCTTTTTTACTCAGCCCCCACCCCCAGCCCTGTGGCAGAACTCAGTGCATCTGTAATCCTCCAGGAAGCTGTGCCTTCAGCAGCTCTCCGAGGCCCATTGGTGTGCCGGGAGCTGGCAGTGGTGCCCACGGAGGCCTGTGCACAGGTAGACCGAGCTGAGGTTCACAGGACTTTGCACCTGCCCGGGTGGACCTCTCTCTGCTCTCACCTGCCTATCGGCCCACCTGTTGACACCTACTCGGGCAGAAAGCTACAAATCCACAGGTGTGTCTTGGCCTCATCTACCTTTGGAAAGGGCAAATGGCACTGACTTCGGACACGAGCGAACAGGCCGGGAGGGGCTGGCTTGGGGCTCCCCCCGGGAGCCGAGTCTCCCCCCTGCATTTGGGAAGCGGCCCGCGGCCCGCGCAGGAAGAAAGCAGGAAGGGCCCCGGTGCAATTGTGCTGCCCCCGATTTTGGGAGTGACTGGCCCTGAGTCAGGTCTGGGAGAGTCCGGTGTGGGGCAGTTGTTGGGGGTTGCTGGCCTTCTCCACCGGGGCTTCCGTGGGGAGTTGCTCTGGGCACTTGTCACTAGGAATGGGTCTTTTAAGAGATGTCCGAGCTTCGTTCAAATGCTTCCTGGTGAAATCGCTGAGGGCCGAAGAGGCCAGAATTGACCAATGCCCCAGTCGGCTGCCCTCAGGCCTCTCCCGATGGTAATTTGGGGAGCTGGCCACTGCATCAGGCAGACTGCAGGCATCCCCACGACCTTGTGGACATGGTGAGACGGGGGTGAGCTGTGCCAGGGCACCTGGGTGCGGCTACCAGCAGGGTGGCAGCACCCCGGTTTTCACAGAGGGGGTCTCCTCTGACACTTAACTTTTGCACTGATCGAGAAGTTTTTATTGAGAAATAAGTCTAAGGGACGATGGGGTGAAAAAGCAGAAGAACCCTCCTATCATCCTGACTCCCAGATAATCTGTGAGACCCTGACAAACAGGCTCACACTCTCACAGACCCACCCGTACACACTGACACACTCACACTCTCACACACAGATATTGAACACCACTGAGATCATTTTGTCTGCATTACAGTTTGATTTTTTTAAATCTAAAATTGTTATGTAAGCAAACCACATTATGAAGAGCCTGTTGAAAAGAGCAGTTTTAGCAAGTGCACACACAATTTATTCAACACGCGGCAAGCAGCCACGGAGCACCCTCGTATGTTGGACAACACGGAAGGTATGGGGAGGGGGCGGGGCTCAGGGCGAGCAAATCAACCAGGCTGCCGACTCATGGAGCTCACTTTCCAGGGGTGACTGGGGGGGAGACGGGTTCAGAAAACAAAAAGGCAGGTATGAATAAAAAATTTCTTCATAGAGCACCTCAAGGGAATAACGACCTCCAGGTGGAGAGTTCGGATGCGGTCTGCTCCTGAGGCTGTCACGGGTGAGCGGAGCCCCGCATCGTGCTCAGGATCCAGCCTGTGAGGATGGGGTGCCTATTCTTACTCGGCCAAGGGGACCCGAGGCTCTGTCTTCACTGGGAGAGGGGGATGAGCCCTCCCAGGAAGGCCCTCAGGTTTCACAGACGGGGGCCAGCCTCCTCCTAGCTTAGGCGAGGCCACGCACAGCAGGGCACTCGACCAGCCTCTGAGCCTGTCGGGGAGTCCAGCCTTGTGTCCAGGGCTGGCGAGGCTGTCCCCAGGCTCTGGGCCCCTTCTGCTGCCTGGCACTGGCCAGCCCAGCCCCCTCACAGGCTGACCCACATCCTGGGCTCCTCACAGGTGACAAGCTCTGAGCTGGGCCGAGCCAGCCTCCCCAGGCCTTTGTCCGCGGTACGCTTCCCCCCCCCCCCCCCGGGGGAGGGCAGGTAGGGCCTGGAGGCTGCCTGGCTTTGTGGGGCGCCGTCTCCTGCGGTGAGTCATGGTCATGGTCATCTCCTCCATTCATTCAGAAATTGCTTATTTCAAAAGCCTCTCCTGCCAGCCTTCTATGTTTCAAACGAGTTTCTGTGCTGTGATTTTCTACAGTTATTTAACCAATTATTCTTTTTTATGAATGACTCTTTATGTTTTCTGCCTTTTCCTTTAATCCTTTCAGGACTCTGAGGAGCTCAGGGGTAATTCAGGCTGCCGAGCCCAGCTCCCGCCCCCGTCCACCCCCCCTCCAGCTCCCGGAACTGGAGGCTCCAGACTGGCCTCTGACCCCCCACACTCCATGGCCCAGGTCCCAGGCCCCTTTTCTGGGGTGGAGCATCTTCACTTGCATTGGCAGCCGCTGCTTTCTAGGACAGCAGAACACCTGCCGGAGTGGACAGTGTGCATTCACCTACGGGCGGTGTTAGGGCTACAACCTCCAGGGACAGGTTCCCTCCAAGGCCACCTCCCCCGAGACAGGCCCTCACTGGGGTCGGGAGCTCTGCTCCCTGGTCGCAGAGCCTCGCAGACCCTCTTTCATAGACTCGAGGTCCCCCAGAGCGCAGTAGGCCGGAGCCCTAGGACCTCTGCTGGCTGAGACGGCCCGCTATGCTCTGCCAGCTGTACGGGAAACTGGACTCTGCCTCCCCGAAGTGGCACTGGCTGGGGTCCTCAGTGGAACCTCAGGGGACAGAGGGCCCTCCGTGGCCATGCACACCTTCCCCAAGGCTCGCAGACAAGCCTTTTGCCGGCCCCACTGCCCTGCAGGCCCCAGCTGTGCATGGTCTGGGGTGGCGGGAGGGGAGGGCTGTCTATTGAGAAGGCAAGGCTCTTGGGGTCAGAGGCAAGGGTCAGCGACCCCCTTGAGTGCAGCCCCTGCTCGGGGTGCCCCCCAGCCAGCGTTCAGAGCTCAGAGGCAGGTGCTCCTCACAGCAACCTCTGGGTCCCCAGCGGGGCCGGCGTTCCGGCCCCCAGACACCAGAGCACCCTCTGAGGGCTCCACCTGGGCATGGTGAGAGAGCCGCCCGCCCGTATCCCTAGCACCTGGACAGCGGGACGCTGCAGCCTCTTCTCAGGGCTCAAATTCCTCAGAGCTCCCCGCCAGCCTTCGGAGCAAGGGCCTCGCTCCCAGGAAGTATGCGGTCCCCCTCTGACCACCCCCCCCCCCCTTTTAAAGGCTTTCTGACCCCTGGCTGCTTGGCTCAGTGGATTGAGTGCCAGCCTGTGAACTAAAGGGTTGCTGGTTTGATTCCCAGTCAGGGCACATGCCTGGGTTGCCAGCCAGGCCCCCAGTGGGGAGTGCATGAGAGGCAACCCTGCATGGATGTTTCTCTCCTCTCTTTTTCCACCCTTCCCCTCTCTCTAAAAATAAACAAAGCCTATTTAAAAAAAGACCTTCTGGGGGCCTGGGGTGGGGCCACGTGGTGGGCAGGCCAGGGAGAGGGCAGGCGACAGCACCCTTCTCCCTGCGGACGGGCAGTGTTCACTTCCGGTGGGCGCGCAGGTTCTGGGGTGACGAGGTGGATGGGAAACTGTTTTATTCTTCTTTATGGGGTTTGATGAACTGTTTCAGGGTGAACATTTGTTCTTGGGAAGCAGGACACCTATGTGACAAAGATAAGCACATGGACAGTAAGGACGGAACAGGACTCTGGGAGTCCTGTAAGTGACAGGGGACTCAAGACTTGGAAAATTTTAGTTTAAGGTAAAAAGTTATAAAGCTAGCAAGTAATGTGTATGTTAAAGCTTTTGTTTCAGAAACTACAGATAAGGTCCACCCATCCTGGCTCCTGGGAAAACAGCAGGCCTCCTGGGGCACTGACTGGAGATCTCTGCCTGGGGACAACTGGAGGCACCCGGGCCTTTGTGTTCCAGGGAGAGACAGATGACCATCGCCCCTGGGAACAGCTCACTGCCCAGGGCAGGAGCGTTGCAGCTTCTGAATCTCAAAGCCCTCACCACACCTTGTTTGTCCTCCACCACCCCCTTATAAAAGGTCTGGCCAGGAAAGAGAAGAGTGGATGGTCTATTAGGGTATGAACCTACTACCTTCTTGGGTCCCCGGCCTTCTAAATAAAGCACCCATAAAAGATTCAATAGCTGCCCCTGCTTATTGGATTTGGTAGTGACAGGCAGCCCGAACACTGGTGTCTTTTCAGGTTACAGAAGGACCCTTGTTCACAGCATTGACCATCACCCTGGACTGTTCCAAGGGACCAAAGTGCTGGATGTCACAGTTTGCTCTCCTGCCTGCCAAGGCCTTGGGGTGTGAGTCTGACCAGGAATTGTCTGGAAGGGCTCAGAGGAAGGAGGTGCTTTGGCCAAAGGGGGTGGGGAGCAGGGTCAATAACAATAGGGACTCTCCCCAAGGGTCAGTCCCCAGTCAGGGCACATGCTTGGGTTGTGGGCCAGGTCCCCAGTGAGGGGCGCTCAAGAGGCAACCACACATTGATGTTTCTCTCCCTCTCTTTCTCTCTCCCTTCCCCCTCTCTAAAAAATAAAATAAAATATTAAAAACATTGTAAGAGGAATAAACACACAAAAATTATGTTCTGTATGATTCCATTCATATGAAACTCTAAAAAAGTCAAAATTACAATGACAGAAACTGAGTCAGTGGTTGCCTGGGGCTGGAGTGGGGAAGGAGATGCGGACAACGGGCAGGAAGAATATTGAAGCAGGACTGTGGTGGTGGTGTAACAATTGTATGTACTGACCAAAATGCATTCGCCAGCACACTTAACATGGGTGCATTTTATTGTATGCCAGTAACAATCAAATAAAAATTGTAAGTAAAAAAACCCCTCAAACTTCACACCTACATCATGGACAAACTTATGAAAACTGATGATCAACAGAACGTCTTGAAGGCAGCCAGACACACAACGGACAGAAGGAAGGTGGGAAGGACAGCAGACTTCTCTTCAAAGACTCTGTGGTCTAGAAGCCAGTAGAGTAAAACTTTTGAAGTACTGAGAGAGAAGAAGTCACCCAGAATTCCGGTCAGTGAAACTGCCTTTCCACTGTGAAAGTGCAGTAAAGACTTTCAGACAAACAAAAGCTGCAGGCACTCACTGCCAGGTGGCCTGTGCTCAAAGTAGTACGGGAAGGTCTTTGGGCGGGGGCGGGGCATGGCACCAGGTGAAAATGTGGGTCTTTGCAAGAACGAAGGGTATTGAAAATGGCAGAAAGAAATGTAGGAGTTGTGAAGGTATCCATTAGAAGAACTGCGGGCTTCCAGATTGCTAGGACAGTTTCTGCAGTGAGCCTGTGCAGGCGAACGAAGACAGGGGGATGGAGGAGACAGGCAGGCACCTGGCCCAACATGGGGGGCGTGGCTTCGCCCCGGTTACGGCGCTGGCGCGAGGCTCGGTCCTCACCACCCTGGGGGTTAGGGAGGCTGTCACATACTGTCCCTGCTTTGTGGGAATCGAAACGTACACTCGGCGGAAACAGTGACTTGCGCAAGAAGTCGTATTAAGTAACGGGCAGGATCGGGCATTTTCTATCTCGTGATTTTTGAGCTTAGTCCAGTCCCCTTGGGATTCGTGAAACAGGCAACACAGATCTCGGAAGCAGTGTCGCTGTTAAGCAGTCCCCGGGCGGCACTTCTAAGCCGGGGCGAGAACCTGCTTCCCGAGGCCGTTGGGAGGATCCAGGGAGAGGGCGAGCTGTCCTTCCACGCAGAGGCGAGCGCGCCCCACCGCAGACCCTCGCCCAGCGTGCGCGCGCAGCCGGGGCAAGGGCGGGGCGCGTCCGCGCGTCCGTTGCCAAGGCCGCGCTGCCCCGGCGACCGAGCGGCGGGACCCCGCGCACGCGCAGTGGCGGATTCCGGTGCACTGTGGGATGGAAACTGGAGCGGCGCGTTCGGGCCAGAGCGGGCGGCGGTCGCTGGGCGAGAGCGGCGGGGACGCGGGGCTTAGACTCGGCGGGCAGGCTGGGGCGCCGCCATGAACGCGGCGGTGGTGAGGCGGACGCAGGAGGCCCTGGGGAAGGTGATTCGGAGGCCGCCGCTGACGGAGAAGCTGCTGAGCAAGCCCCCATTCCGCTACCTGCACGACATCATCACGGAGGTGGGCAGTACCGCCGGGGCTGGAGTGCGGGTCGGGGGTCCGGGCCAGTGCCGGTCGTGGTGAGGGCCGCGGCTTAGTTGGGAGTTGGGGCCCGAGTGTGGGTCAGGGTCGAGGATTGGGAATCTGCGCCCGGGTGTGGGCCGGCGTCGGGTCATGAGTACGGGCCCCATTAGGGCCCAGGTGCTGTTTGGGGATGGGGGTCGGCACCCAGGTGCAGGTCTGGGAACAAGGCCCAGGCCCGAGTGTGGGCCACGGTCGAGGTCTGGACTCCGGGGTCGAGGTAGGGGTCTTTGGCCGGGGCCCCGAATGAAGGCTGGCGTCAGGGTCGGGCCTCGCGTGGCTGTGCCCCGTCCCCGTCCCCGGAGCTCCCGCCCGCAGACCCCCGCCTTGGGCTGGCCTGTGGCTCGAGGAGCCACCACGGGCCCAATCCTCCGGTGTCTCTGCGCTGAGTGCCTCGCCCTCACCCCCACCCCCTGTCACCCTTGCTCCCACCGGCCACCTCCTCCGGGGAGTCTCCTGGGCCCTCAGGCTGCGAGCATTATTTCTTTCCAGTCTTCCCTGTGTCTGTTAGAACACGTCCACATCTTCCATTCTACCTGCCGCAGCTGTTGCTAGGATAGTTTTTCTTCAGTGCCTAGTGTGCAGAGGCGCTCAGAAATCCTGGGAGAAGGAAATTATTTTTACCCCCGCCTCCACAGGGCTCTGCACAGAGGTCACCACATGCTGGATGGTTAATAAATACCTGGGGGTGAATTAACTGGAAATGCTTGTAGGGGGACCCTGGGAGGGGGACCTACAAAAGAGCAGATTAGTATTTACTGATACACGGCACCGCCCACCTCGGTTGAGATTGGTTGTCGCTGTGCCCGCCGGGGAAGGTGAATTGCCGAGTGGTGGGACTGTAACCTGTTCCTTGGCATGGCATAGGTGGGCTGCACTGGCCAGGTGCATGGAAGGTGCTCACAGACATTCACTGTTACCTGGGGTCTGTCAAGGCCCTTGGTGACTTCAGAGGCTGTGCCCACCTCCATGGGGCACCTGGGACTCCTCAGAGGACTGGCTGTGCCCCCCGGGCAGAGGACGCAGCTTGAACTCGGGGACTTCCAGGGGCTCCCGACCTCACCCTGTGCTGGTCCCAAATGCTGTTTCTTACTCTTTGCTGGAGATTGGGCGTTTGACTCTTCCACGAACTGCGCTTTCTTTATTATGTTCTGTTAGTTTATAACATGTGTCTCTGTGCTAAAAACCCTAATTGTGCTTAAAACTCAGTGGGATTTCCCACACTTCCGAAGGGCTGTCTGGGCTCCTCCTCCTGCAGCCCTGGGAAGGGTGGTGGCCGTGTGCTGCTCCGTCCCTGCCCCCCCTGACCCAGGAGGGCACAGGTCCGTCACCAGGATGGGAGCCGGACAGCCTCGTGCTGCCCTGTGTCAGTCCCGTCAGGAAGGGAGGCGGGGCCATGGCCCCCCTGCAGGTCTTGGCAGGTCTGCGAGCAGGCATTTTGGAAAGTGTTCTCAGAGAACAGGTGTGGAGCCTCGTGCGGAAACTCTCCACGGCCCTGAGTGTCCGGTTGAGGCCGCCACCCCAGTGCTGTACCTGCAGCTCCGCTGGCTTTGCCTCTTTAAGTTGAAGGCCTGGTCTTGTGATGCTCATGTCTCTCAGTGATAAAGATTATAGCTCACAATTTTAACTGCCAGCGAACTGGGAAACCTCGAACGAGACTGAATGAGAAGCATGCAGCGATATCAGGTGCAGGATGTGCGTGATGCCGCCCCTCTCTGCTCAGGAAGGACGGGCCCGGCCGGTGCTGGCGGGGCTGGACGACGAGGACGTTACCCGGAGCTGGCGTAGTGGGGCCTCAGGGGGGCCGTCGATGCTGGCGTGGGGCTGGCTTCTTAAAACGTGGCTTCTGTAATAAACACACTGTACGTCCACCCAGGGCACACAGAGATGTGCTCGTCCTGCTACATACCGTGCAGCCCAATGCTTTTTTGGTTTCAATAAAAAATGCTATTGTTACCCATGGCGTTGGTTTTACAGTAACCTGCTGCGTTGGAAAGACGCTGGTCCAGGAGCACCCAGAGGCCCCCCAGGGGCACAGGTGGGGAGGCACAGGTTGACGGGGGCGGGCGAGGAGAGAAGAGGAGTGATGCGGTCCGGCCCCCTCTGTCCCGGGAGTGAGGGGCCAGTGAGGGGAAAAGCCTCCCGTCTAGTTTCAGAGCCCAGGCTGGGAAGTTGCTTTTCTTTCTGGAAGCCCTTCTCTCCACTGGACCTGAGTGACCCTTGTAAGATGCTGCCCCTGCTTTTGAACCTCCTGGGGCCTCCTTGGGGTCTGATGCACAGTCCTGTCCCGAAGGCTCCCACGGCCACCTGGGTCAACCCCACCTGACTCTGGCCTCAGGTTGCTCCTGTCCCAGACGCCTTTGGCCCCTGGAACGGGACCTTCCTGCCCCGGCCCCTCCAGGACTGTTTGGTTCAGCCCAGCGGCGGCACCCCCAGCCCCTCCCTCAGCTCTTGTCCTCTAGGCCTGCCTCCAGTTTCCCTCCAGACCTGACTGCTCCTGGGCCGTGTTCCCTGACACCCCTCCCTCTCCTGAGAGTGGGCCAGGTGCCCATGCCTGTTCCCTCACCACCCTGCAAGTCCCTGTGACATCACCTGTGCCCACAGCTGGGCTGGCCTCTGCCTGGTGCCAGGGTTGTCCCGCGGGGCACTGACCGTGGCTTTGCTTTCCCTGTTGAAGGTGATTCGGATGACCGGCTTCATGAAGGGCCTGTACACAGATGCCGAGATGAAGTCGGATAACGTGAAGGTGGGTGGGGCCCTGCGCGGGGTGGGGGGGGGGGGGGGTGGGGCTTCGTGAGCCGTGCAGTGGTGTGTCCCATTTCCACGCTGGTCGTGGCAGGGCTGCAGGCCTGATTAATGCGTGGATTGCCATGTCTTCTCCCGTCGTTTTATTTTTGGCAACTGCATTCATGCTAATTTTATGCACTGAGAAGCCGGATTGTGTTGTGAAGGGGAGTGCTGGCCCATCCACTAACATTAAAAACTTGAATGAGTTGTTTTTGTTTTGTTAGTCAGTATTTCTAAATTGGACTTCTGAAAATAGCTTTTTCTGCAAACAGGAATTGTGTCTGTTGAACATACTGCGGTCAACACACTTTTTTTGGAACTGTCTTATATTTGTCTTTTAAACGGGAAATTTCCAGGATAAAGACTCAAAGATCAGCTTCCTGCAGAAGGCCATAGACGTGGTGGTCCTGGTCTCAGGCGAGCCACTGGCGGTGAAGCCGGCCCGTGTCGTGGCGGGGCATGAGCCCGAGAGGACGAATGAGCTCCTGCAGAGGATCGGAAGGTGCTGCCTGGGCCAGGTAACCCTGCGGCCGGCCCGGCCCGGCCCTGCCCGCACGAGGGGCGGTGACTGGGCAGAGTTCCGGGCGGTGGGTGCCAGGTGCCGGGCTTTCAGCTTGATCCTTCCTGTTCCGGAGCCGTGGAGTGAGAGGAACCAAGCACCCTAGTTCCACGGGCTCGCAGTGTAGAATGGGGACCCGCTGGCACTTGGCATCGGGCTGGTGGCCAGAGGGGGCTCGCCCAGGTGCCCAGGCCCTGTATTCCTTTCAGGGCATTGCAGCCAGGGCCCAGGTGGGTGGAGGAGCTGCTTTTCCTCTTTGGGGCTCATGGACACCCCTGTTCTCTGCCTGCCTGTCCAGCTTTCAAAGTTTCCCTCTCTTGAGCCCCTCCCCTCCATCTCTCTCTCCGCCTGCCCTCCCCGCCCCCCGGCTGTTCGCAGAGTGGTGCTGCCTTCAGAGACACACCGTCTCAGTGTCCAGGGACTGGACTGAGACTCACTGAGGTCCTCACTTCTCTAGGACAGAACGGTCAGGCCCTGTCCTAGAGAAGGCCGCCCTTGGGGAGCCAGGGTGCCTCTGGGGAGCAGGGTTGGGCCTGTGTTGGGCGGAGCCGATGAAGCCCTTTTGTCCCTGGTAGGCTGTGGGCCACGCCAACCCTCATTTCCTGTAGTAGCTGGGCGGGGGGGCTCAGTCCCCAACCCCCACCCCGCAGCCTTCACTCGCTCCTCTTTCTGAAAAGGAAACGACCCCTGTCTGCCCCGTTGAACCCCTGGAGGCCCCTTGCTGCCTCGGTGGGAGCGGCAGTGCACAGACAGCCCTGTGCCACGGCCGGCGGGGCCCCGGGACCTGCCCCTGCTCCCTGTGCCTACCCCAGGGCCTCCCGCCCTGGTCGGGCTCCCTGCTCTCCGCTCCGTCGGGCAGTGGTGTGGGCCCGCCAGCCTTTCCCCCACTCCCAGGCTGACTTAGGTGCCCTGGCGTGTTCCCATAGCCCATGGCCAGTTGACTGTTGTGTTTGGCCAAGTGCCCCAGTGTGCAGCGTGCCCTCGGCTCAGGGCTAGTGCCCGGCGCCTCAGAGTCGCTCCAGGCCTCCGTGTGGAGAGCGGGTGTGTGTTGGGAGTGGACTCCTGCGTGGAGCTGCGCGTTGGCTGCAGGTGGCGCTCGCGCGCTGCTGAGGGGGCCTCTCATTTCTAGGAGCGAGTTCCGTCCTCCCAGGCCCTTTCCTGCCGGCTCTCCACGACCCTGTGGCAGGAGGGGGCGTTCGTGGAGTTGTCCCCCACAGTGCAGCCATGCGCCAGACGTGTGGAGTGTGGGCGGGCACCACGGTCCCCGCTGCAGCGCAGGTGCCGGGAGGGCCACGCGGGCGCTGCGCTCTGTCTGGCGTGACAGCGCGTCCCCCAACGAATCTCATGAGGGACAAAGAGCCTGGGTCCCGAGCTGCCTCTGAATGAGGCTTCTGGTGTCTGTCCTCCGGGCTGACCCCGCATTTCCTCTCTCCTGGCGGGACGACAAGCTGTCCAGTGAGGACGCAGTGAAGAGAGTGCTGGCTGGAGAGAAGGGGGACACGAGAGGACGGGCCACACTGACCTCGAAGCCTCAGGAGTCGGACGACAGGAACTCGAGGGACGAGGAGCCCAGGGTCCCCAGAGATAAGGAGGTGACTGCAGGGCAGTGTGCTGGGACACGGGACAGCGAGTCCTGCTGTAGTTCGGGCAAAGGCGCTGTGAGCAATCCTGTATCTGACCTTTCTTTTTCAGGGTGTGGGAACTTCTGAAATAAACGAGGGAAGTGCAAGCAGAGACCGAAGACAGAGAGAACTGAAGGAAGAAAGCAAACCGAGGGACAAGGAGAGGGACAAGGAGAAGGCCAGGGAGAACGACCGCGATCGACAGAGAGACCCTGAGCGAGACAGGGGCCGTGAGGGCGAGCGAGAGAGGGCCAGAGCCCGGGCCAGGGCGGACAGGGACAGGGACCGGGACAGAGGCGCCAGGGACCGGGACAAGGATTCGGACCGCACGAGAGAGAGGAGGAGCGAGGGAGGAAGAGAAAAGGAGCGGTGGAAAGACCGGGAGAAAGAGCGTGAGCGAGACAAGGGCAGGGACCGGGACCGGCGGAGGGCGAAGAACGGGGAGCGTGCCCGGGACCCTGGCAGAGAGAGGAACCGAGAGCAGGATAAACCGGACAAGAAGGTGGGTCTTCTCTGAACGCGGGAGCCCCACCTCGGAGTTTGGGTGGCTCTCCGAATGGTCGTTGTCTTTAGCGGAGTGTGTCCAGGAAATTGGGTTTTCGTACAGTGTGATTGGAGAGCGGTCTTTTCCGAGCCACTTTCGAGTTCGGACCGCCTCCGGTCCCAGCAGCACCGGTCCCAGCAGCACCGGGAGGGCACAGTGCTGTGCCTGGAGGTCCCTGTTCGCTCTGGGCCTCAGGGGTGGGGTGGGGCTTTCTGAAGCCTGAGAGCAGCCCCACCGTCCGTTCTCGTGGGGACAGCGTCTGCTGCCACGTGTCCCGGGAGGGAGGGGCTGGAGCAAGGCCTGAGCTGCGCCTTTTCTGCAGCTCTCGGGGGTGTGGCGTGGCATCTAGGTGCTGCTTGGGGTCCCGTGGCCGGCCTGTTGGGCCCCGTGGAGCCCTGGGGGCTGCGTGCTGGGTGTGGGCTGTGACTGAATGTATGTTTTGGGGGCCTCCGGGGTCCCCGGCGGCCTGGAGTCCCGTGCCCTGTGCCGGGTGCCATGGGAACCAGGCTCCTGCAGCGGGCAGGGCCACGCACGCGTCCCTGCGTCTTGCCTCCCCTCGGAGTCTGAGACGGCGTGTCTCCCCTGCCCTGGTTTTCCTCGGTCGTGGGTGTGCTCTGGAGTGTCCCACCGTGCGTGGCCGTGGGAGAGGGACTGCGCCCCAGCTCTCGGGGCCTCGTGTCCCCACCGCACTGTCCCTACCTTGTGTTTTGTGGGGAGACCGTTGTGAAGCGTGGCTCTGCGTGCAGATGCGGGGCCTGTTGGAGCCGTATCGGGCCAACGGGTGTGGGGCCAGGGTGGGGGGCGGTCCCCGCTCGGCTTCCCGGGGGGAGACACACACCAGCTGTCACCTCTGTGTGATGGTGGCTGGGGGGGTGTCCCTTCACTCGCCTGCACCTGTCTGCCCGCCCGCAGGGACGCTGGCCTGCCTGGCCTCCCTCCGGGGTTGGCAGAGAGAAGGCAACGTGATGCGTGTGGCTGCTCTGAGAGGCCAGCAGAGTGACAGGCGTGTGGGGTGAGAGACCAGGCCGTCTGTGGGCGCAGCACCCTGTCCCCTCTGAGTGGACAGCCGGGTGCCTGGCGCTGGGGTGGCCCATGCAGGGCACTGCTGCAGGATGTCACGATGAGGACATTTGGGGTGGGGCACTGAGGGGGAGCCTGCGCCCTCTGCCGTCACGGAAGGACAGCTTTGCGACCGTGTCTCCCCTCCTGACAGTGACATGCGTGTCTTGGGGAACTGGTGCAGGCTGCGGGGTGGTGCTGCAGCCCTCCTGTCCCTTGTCCCGAGAGTGCCATCCTGCCGCGGTGTCCGGGCCTCTGCTCCAAGGAGCCAGACCTCAGAAAGGGGCCGCCCCGCCGAGCGGGGTGGTGGTGGCCGGCACTGGGTCCCTGTGCTCGCCTTCCCTGGTGCCGGAGTCCCCAGGTCCCGCCAGGATGTTCCCGAGAGGTTTGGCCCAGCCAAGAGGCACGGCCCGTGAGTGCGCCCACCTGTCCAGTGCCGCTGTGGGCGGGCGTGCTTGGGAGGCCCTGTGGGGTCCAGGCCGCAGCCCAGAGTCCACTCGGCCCGGCACACAGGGAGGGAGTCCTGCCGTCGGTCAGCTAGGGACAGCGTCCGGCGTCTTCTTAGACGTCGCCGATCTGAGTGATTCTAGAATTTGAAGGCAAGTAAAACATTTTTTTTATAGTCATCGGGCTCCGGGGAGATGTCTAAAAAGTTGTCGGATGGACCGTTCAGAGACTCCAGAGCCGAAGCCGAGGTGAGCTCCCAAAAGAGCCTCTGAGAGGTGCAAGCCTGCTGCTGCGCTGAGCCCGTGCCGCTGGGTGGGGGCCCCTCCTCCGCCCGAGATGGAGCGTGTGGCTGGGGCACAGGCCAGAGGGCCCTGTCGGGCTGCTGTGAAAGTGAGGTCCTGCGTGGCGGGGCCGCCTGGTCACGCAGCCGGGGTGCTGCCCTCCGGTTCCTGGGGCGGACTGCTGGGTTTCCCTGCAGCTTCCTTTGGCGGGCGGGATGCACAGTGTTCCCAGGGACTGGGCGGTCGTTTGGGAGAGGGGAAGGTGGCAATTGGGATGAATCTGGGAGAGGATTGAGTCACCAAGCAGACAGGGAAAGGAGGCCCAGCTCGAGCGACCCCGGCCAGCTCTGTCTGGCCTGTGCAGGGCCCTGCCGCATCCCCGGTGGCAGGGGCTGGGGGGTGGGGACGGTCGAGGCCAGGCTCCATCTCTTCCGGGTGGGCCACCCTAGGGTGCCCAGACCCATCCCAGCCCCCAGAATGCAGCTCTGGTTTCAGGGAGGTGCAGGTGGCTACAAGGGGACGGACAGGAGGCGTGGGGAGGGGCGGAGGCTGTCCTGGCCCCGGGGGCGGTGGCGAGGCCAGAGCTGCAGGGTCAGGGACGGGACGGGCTGTGCCCCCTGACCGACCGGAGCGCACAGCTGTCCGTGGGCGAGGTTCAGTGTGAAGCGATGGCAGTCGAGTCAGGTGGCCTGGCAGATGGCTGGCTGCTTCCCAGCCCCACAAGTGGACGGGATTCTGACTGGAGAGTGAAAGCGGGTTCAACTGCCCTCCGACTCCTTCTCAGGCACCCCAACACCCCGAGTTGGTGCGCGTCCCTGCGAAGAGTATGGCTGGCCTCCTTCTGTGCCCTCGCTTTCCTCGAGTGGCGCTCAAATCGTGAATCTGCTCGCAGTGTCTCTGGATAAGGTGCCAGTTAACTCTTCTCGTTCTCTCTCCTCCGAGACGGAGGCCTCCCCCAGGGCATCCGGGTCCGTGACAGCGAAGACCTCCAGACGCCGGTCCAGGACCTCAGGGGAAGGTACTGCGCCCTTGGCCGCGCGGCGGCTGCAGACGGGAGCTTTGCTTCTTTGCCGTCCTCACGGCGTCTAGTAGGGAAGTGCTCCTGGGGCTCGAAGCCAGACCTGCCCCAGGGGGCGGTGAGCAGGTGCTGTGACGGGGGTGAGGCTTTGTGGCTCTTGCACGCACACGCACACATGCACACGGGCACCCACGGGTGTGAGCTCGTGGCACCGGGCAGAGGGCACCTGCTGGGCGTCTGTGTTGCAGCCCGAGATGCGATCAGACTTCAGGTTTCGAGAAACGTGTCACTGAGCGTCACCCGCATTTTGGTGACTGGCCTCTGGCCCGACAGGCCGAGTTTGGTCCCGGCACAGGACGGGCACCAGAAGCCTCCCGCCCCGAGACAGCCGGCTGCTGTGCAGCAGTTGTCCCCGAGGGTCATGCTGGCACTGGGGCACCGGGACCGGCCTGACGGGGGCTTGTTCGCGGGCAGACCCAGTGGGAGGAGCGGCCGGCGCGGCGAGGGGCGGGGAGGGGCGGCGAGGGGCGGGGAGGGCGGAGCTGCTGGGAGCAGCTGCAGTGTCCGAAGGAGCATCGTTTCTCGAGCTGTGCCGGTTGAGGTGTGGCCAGAACGCGATCTTCTGAGTTTTTGTGTAGCAAGGAGACTTGGGGGCCGCACCCCTTTCCCACCGAGATGCACGGTTGCTCAGTGGACACGTCTCTTTCTGTGAGACGGCCCCACGAGGGTCTGCACCGGCACCAGGGTTCCTGCTGCGAGGACTCGTGTGCCCTCTGCCCTGCTCCGCCCCCAGGGAGGCCCCAGGGAGGCCCCGTCGCCCTTCCGGGGGCCGCAGCCCCAACCTGCAGGACTTCCGCGTCCACTGAGGGCACCTGCCAGGTCTCTAAAAAGTGTGTGTTCGTTTCTATTAGTTGCCTGAGTGTTTACGTTTTGTGCACCGGATACAGCCAGTTTGCTTTATGTTTGCTTTATGTTTGTGGTTTGTCCAGAGACTTGAGAGGTGGTGAAGATTTTGTGTTTTGTCGCCCACTTTTATATTTAATTGTTTTAGTTTTCTCTCTATTTTAATTCACGGAAGGCGGGTCGGTGTGAACTGTTTCCATGAACACTTTTGAGACATCATCGGGTGTGTTGTGGGAAGGGACAGTCTCCAACTTGGCTCTGCCTCCCAGAGCCTCCCTGGACAGTGGGAGGGTCCTGCAGGGCCCCCCGCCCCAGCCCAGGGCCTGTCCCTGCGACGCCTCCTGCCCTGTTTGTTTTCAACAGGAAAAGTGTTTCTCACACGCTTGACTTTCTCTTCTAGTTTTGGGAACGCTGGCCCATCGGCCGGTCGTCTGTAGTGACCAAGTGCCTGGGAGCTCTCGGGGTGTGGGCTCGTGCGCCGCGCCGAAAGCGTGTTCTTCCCTGCCTCCCTGAAGTCACGGCCTGTCGGCGCTTCTCGGCCTCCGGGCCGGTGGCAGTGGGAGGCAGTGGGAGGCGGTTCTAGAAGTTGGGGTGCGGGGCTAGTCTGCTTTGGCTGGGGGGGCCAGGCCTCCGCCTGCAGCCTGCAGGCAGCACCCACCCCTCTGGCCCCCAGAGCCACACCCGGGGACTGAGCTTGGAGCCTGTTGTCAAAGGCCGCCTCTGGTGTGTCTGCTGTGAACTGCGGGCCACCTCTGGGGGCTCTGCGCTAAGGCAGCCGCCAACCCGAGCCGCCCATTCGGAACTGTCTCCTGTCAGGACCGAAGGACGCTGCTGCCGGCTCAGCACGTGTTTCGGACGGCGGCTCGGCCGGCCCGCGGCGGGACAGCCCCGAGCCAGAACCGGCAGTGAGGCGGAAAGGTGAGGGCCGCCCTTTCACTCCTTTCCGGCGCAGAGACCGAGCCCCTGGCGTAAGGCTGGCTGTGGGCACCTCCCTCTTCGGGGTTCCCCCGGCGCCCCAGGTTTCCCGTGGTCTGGGACCCACACGGAGTCCTGCCCCTCATTCTCGTGCACCAGGCCTGGGTGCGGCCACTGGTCACTTCCTCCTCTTCATACAATCGAGGGGGGTATTCCAGTCATGGCGAGACAGCCCTGGACCCGGTGGGGGTGGCACACGACTGGCTGCTGGGTTCCCGCAGGCCGAGCCGCCCCCCCCCCCCCCCCCGCCTCCGTGTCGGGACGGACTTGCAGCAGCCCAGCCCCTCTCACGGCCGTGATGTCTCCGTCCACAGTGTCCTCCGAGCCTCCAACCAAGTGCCCATGGTTGGTGTCTGCTTTTGCCGTAGTTTTCTCAGTGTTTCTGTAAAAGTTGTGGTAAATTGCACATTCAGTGTCTGTCTTCTAAGCCCTGGAGCTCCGAACATGCTGGGTGGCACAGGCCTCTCCAAGTGCCATGCCCCAGAGCCAGGGCCGTGCAGGGGGCAGCTGGGCCGGCCTGGGGCTGCGACGCCGATCTTTGCTCAAACAGAGCACTGTTGAAGGGCCGGGGGTCAGACCCTGGGGCATTGAGCACGCTGGTGTGCAGAAGGTGGACTGGAGTGTGGCAGCGTGCACCAAGGGCAGAGCAGGTGTGGGGCAGAAGGGGCTTTGCCACCTGGTTGGGGGCAGCCATCAGGCCTGGGGAGGCAGGTAGGTCGGCTGCTGGGAAGCTCGGAAGTGCAGGGGGCCAGCTGGGGTCGGTGGCACCGTGGCCACGAGGGGAGTTGAGCAGCAGGGAGCCGTTTGATTCCAGGAGTGGCTTTGTCATCTGGTATCAGCTGACCTTGGGAGGCTTGGCTAAGTAGGCAGAGAGTGGCCCGGCCTGGGGACCAACGGGCAGAGGAGGACCGGGCAGGTTACAGAGGCCCGGATGTCAGGGCAGACGCAGCCCTGAGCTTTGGAGGAGACAGCTGGACCAGAGGGACACTTAGGTGGGGTGGGACCAGCTGCGGGGCGGTGAGGCCTCAATGTGGGGGTGCAAGGGGTCAGGGAGCGTCTTTAAGATGAGAACTGCTGTGCACCCTCCCACCCGGTGTCGGCCGCATGACGCCGCCTCCCCATCTCTCAGCACCTTGTCCGAGCTCGCAGTCTGCCCCCAGCATGGCTGGTGTGGGTGCTGTGGACAGATGGGTCCCATGTCCACACCGTGGGCCCCGCCGCTTACCCCAGGCTCCAGTTCTCCCCACACCTTCTGTGAGCCACTGCCTTGCCCGCAGGGCCTGTGCCCGGCCCGGGACGGAGACTGCCAAGCACACATTCCCACGCCTTGGCGCCACCGGGAACCCCACTGCCACCCCTCCCCACAGGCGCCAGGCCTGCCATCTGTCGTGTGGCTGGGTGAGGTCCTGGCAGGGGGGCTCCCCTGGTTCTCCGAGGGGCGCTCACAGTCAGTGCGGAATTCGCCTCCTCCCAGGGACGGCGGACAGACCACAGGCACGAGAGCACTCCTCGCCCTGTGTTGGCTTGTGGGTCCTCCCAGAACCCCGGCCCGACTCCCGTGGGTGCGTGCCCTCCTGGGTCTCCCGCAGCTCTGTTCTCAAGTCGGGAGAGGGTCACATGGGAAAGCACGGTCTACCTTTGGGTGAGCCCCTCACCTTGCCCTGCTTCCGCTCAGGCGCCCATGCCGCCCCCAAAAGCCGCACTTGACCAGGGGTCCTGGTGACGCGCCAGGCGGCCCGTGTGGAGATAGCTGGTCCCGCTTCTCGGACGCCTTAGGTGAGGCAGCTCGGCGTGCGGTGCCCGCGCCCCGGGCCCCATCGGCGCCTGTCCTGCTTCCTCGTCTCTGGACACTCTCCTGTCCCCGTCGCCAACATGTCATGGGACACCGCCTCCGCGCCTTTTCCGCCCTGCGGACCAGAGCGTGGCCGTAGGAGATGGGAGGGGCTCAGGGAGGCTGGGTCCACTGTGAGGTCAGTGCCAGGCCCGTCTTGCTCGCCTGGCAGCCGGACACGGACGAGAATCGCTGACGCTCTTTGTCTTTTGCAGGTGACTCTCCGAGCGACGCAGGTGAGGAGGGGCGTGTGCGCTCTGGTGTGCGTGTGTGGACAGGGTCAGTCAATGAGACACGGTGACGATGCCACTTGAAGATTTAATTTGAAAAACAAAAAAAACAAAAAAAAGATTTAACTTGCACACTTTTTTGTGTCAAGAGAGTACATTTCAGGTTTTTCCCCCAGAGGACAAAGTATATTTTCAGTAGTCGAATTCTGATGGGTTTTCACGATTTTCTAAAGTTTAAAACCCTTTCACCATAAATGGTAGAGTGACTTTAATTGCCTTAATGGCACGGACTTGTTAGTTACTGTGATCAAACCTCTTTATCAAAGTGAAGGAACTTGGTCAGCCTGTAAAGGCGATGGGTCCGCACCCAAAGTGGAGCCTGTTTGAAGGGCACACAGAGGAGCAGGAGCACAGGCCCCCTCCCCCCGTGCCGTGGCGCCCCCGGGGGCCCGCACATGACTAGGCCCATGATGGGCCCTGTCACTCATGCGTGAGGATGATGGCGTGGCGATGCCGTGTCCCCTCCAGGGGAACCCTGGGCACCCGGGTGTTGCCCGCAGCCCCGTCTTCTGAGTTTTCTTTCCTGAGACAGCGAGCCCCTCGTCACCCCCAGACTCAGCCTTGAGCATCCACTCTGTCTTCCTGGGAGTGACAGGCAAGGGACACCCCTTTGTGCTTGTGTGGTCACCACTTTCTCCAGTGTGTGTCTGTTGTCTGTGTTCTTTCCTTTGCAAACTGCTGGCCGGGGCGCCGTCCCTTCAGAAGGAGACGTGGGACCCGCCAGTCAGGACAAGCCCCAGGGACCTGAGGACGCCGAGGTCCCCGTGGACCTCCCGCCGGACGCCAGGTCTGTGCTCGCCACCCCCCCAACACGCCCCTCTCTGCTGTGGCGGTTCCCTGGCACAAGCCAGGTTCTGCAGCAGTGCTGGTGCAGAGGCGCTCACGCTCTGTTTTGGTTTCCCACTCTCCGCTCCAGAAGGCTCCCGCGGCCCGGGAGCGCCAGGCCGGCGCCGCCCCGGGTGAAGCGGCAGGACAGTGCAGAGGTGTTGGCGGCCGACAGGTGAGGCGGGCTCTGACCAGAGTGCCAGGGGCTCCTCCAGGTGGGTGGGACCCTGGGGCGGGGGGCGCTGGTGGTGCCGGGAAAGCCTGCTGTCGAGAGAAAGCCAACTGGGTGAGACCCCGGCCTGGATCCGCACGCGGTCTCGCGTTTCAGATCGGCGAGCGCACCGGCGTGCGTACACGTCTAGGGTACGTTGAAAATACGTGGGGAAGAGGCGGCGTGCCGTTCTCTGACCCCCAGGTAGAGGGTTTTCTCAGCATAGCAACAATGAGGGGGAAATAGGGAAAAAGGTTTAAAGGCTGATTGCACAGAAAGTGAAAACCAAGTGCGGTGAGCAGGGCACAGACAGTGGGGCGGGGCCGTGGCGGTTGGCAGACCTGCCTGTGGATGCGGAAGGTCAGCTGGCTGGGTCGGTGGGTTCCAGGTGCGGCCGGGGGCTGGGCTTGGAGACAGCTGGGGGGCCGTTCACGAGGGCCTCAGGCTTGGTTGCAGAGGGAAGGGAAGCAGGGGGAAGGCAGGCAGGGGCCTCCTCAGCCCCTGTTTTCCAGAAGAGGGGACCGGCACCCTTGGGTGGCAGGTGGCCTGGAGGGCGCAGGTGTGGAGGTGTGGGAGAAGCCGGCTGGGGGCATGGGGACAGAGTCCCTGATTGGGTGGGGGCTTGTGCCCTGGCGCTTGTGCCTTGGGAGGCGGGCCTCTTATGTGAGGGGTGACAGGTGACAGCAGGGTCTCCCTGAGAGGGGCCAGGGGAGGGGCAGGTCAGGGTGTGGATGGGGCGGGGCGCACCTGCACACCCGTGATGGGAGGGGCTGGCAGACAGTCCAGGGGCTTCACTCAGTGTCCCCCGACCCCCCCCAGTAACATCTCCGACCTGCTCTGACTTCCTTCTGCTCAGGACCGGGAGCGGTAAAGCCACCGTCCCCAGCGTGATCGTGGATGCCCAGATCTCCGAGGACGAGGACGACCAGTTTGTGGTGGAGGCCGCGCCCCAGCTGCCTGAGGCGCCGGAGCACGAGGGGGTCAGTGCACTGGCCCGGGGGTTTTGTAGCTGCCCCTGCACTCGGGCGTTTGGGTGGATATGGACGGTTCCCTCCGACTTCTCAGTCAGTTTTCCGCCCTCTCTGATCTCGTCATTCCTCTGACGCGCTCCTCAAAAGCAGGGTTGGGAGGACTCGGCAAGCCCGAGTCCTCGTCTTCTCCCTTCCTTTCCCGCGCAGGCGCAGGCCCTGGAGCTGGAAGAGGACGAGAAGCACGGTGAGTCCCGGCGGCAGGCTTGGCTCAGGAGGGCCAGGGCTCTGCGGGCGTGGGTCCCTCTGAGCGCGGGGCTTTCTGTCCTAGGAGCCAGTGGGTGCTGCCCCATCCTTAGGGGACCTGCGGGCACCCCGCACCTTGAGGCCAGCTGAGAGTTCTGCTCTGGGGGACCCCTGTTCTTAGCGTGTGGTTACTTGGGGTCAGGCAGCGTCGCAGGGCATCCCCAGAGCAGCAGGCCTGGCCTACCGTGTGCTCTTGTCCCCATGCCTTTCCTTACAGTTTCAGCCCAGGGTAGGGAGTGTTAGTCCTCGGAGTCTGCTTAGAAGCAGTTCACAGTTACCATATTTGTAATTGTTTTAAATGTTCATCTGCATTGTTTTTGAACTTGTGGAAATGGAAAATCTATTTTATTTTTAAAGGTTTTTTTTAAAGGATTTTACTTATTCTTAGAGAGAGGGAGAGAAACACCACTATGTGGTTGCCTCTTATGCGCCCCCTACTGGGGACCTGGCCGACAACCCAGGCATGTGCCCTGACTGGGAACCGAACCACCAACTCTGGTTCACAGGCCTGTGCTCAATCCACTGAGCCATGCCAGCCAGGGCTAAAGTTTTTGGTTTTTTCACCATTCAAGGAGCTGGTCTCTTTGAAACTCTGTGGAATGGTAGTTTATTTCCAGCACCAGCAGCTGTGCCAGACTGCTGTAGGCCATCCTTGATCAAACAGAGGTGCTGGGCGCTGTTTTTGTGTGGAAGGGGGCGGAGTGAGGGCTCGGTGTTGCTTCCCAGCCTCCACAGTGCAGAACAGAACGGCTGCCCAGGGTGGGGCCCCGCTGGGACCTAAAGCTGCTGCTTTTCCGCACGCAGGAGGACTTGTTACGAAGATTCTGGAGACCAAGAGAGATTACGAGACGCTGCGGCTGCCCCCCAGACCTGGGGGGAAGGTGAGGTTCCGTCTGCGGCCGCCGGCACCTCCACCCACTGTCTCACAGGCTCACACTGGAGCCTTGCACTCGACCCTCGGACGCTGTGATGATTTCAGGGTGGTGCCCCCTCAGTGGGAGGACGGGCCCTTGCCGAGTCACGTTACTTTCCCGCGCCAGCCCTGTTCTGGGTGGGTAGCAGCCCCCCGTGGGGGTTGAGGAGTCCAGGCCAGATGCCTGCCCCACGCTGATCCTGAAGCCCTGGTTTCCCAGCACGTGGAGCCGGCTGCCTGGCCCTGGCTGGTTGCAGATTGAGGGGCGGGGCTTTCGAGTCTGGCTCTTAAACACGGGGCTCCCGGCCTCCCTGTGTCTCTCTCTGATGTGCAGTGTGGTTTTACTGGGACCCAGGCCTCCTGCCAGTGCTGCCCTTGGATGTGGGGCCCTGCGGGGGCACCTGCAGGCCAGGGGGCCTGACGGTAAGTGTTGGCTGTGGGTTTCTACAGAAAGCGGTGTCCTGCGTGGTTTTATCACCAGCCACAGCCCCCGTGTCTTCTCCACACACATGTCCACTCAGTGGCTACTCGCTGTGTCCATCCTGCTTCCGGTGACCTGCTTTGTCCTGGAGCCCGGCCTGGAGTGGCCGAGGGGAGAGCGTCCTGGGTCAGGGTCCTCTTCTCAGATGCAGGGGTCGCTGCCGCCCTGGCTGTGCGTCTGCCGCCTTGAGCCGGAGTCGCTGCCTCTGGGCTGTTTCTGTGGTGATCTTTGAAGCCTCAGTTGGTTTCAATTTTGTGGCTCTAATTTTTATGCAGAGCACACTAGGCCTGGTTTCAGAGTTTCTTCTGAAGGGTGCGTTTCAGAGGACTGGATCTTTTGACTTTAGAAGATAAAAGAGGGAAAAGTGCACTTACTGCTGCAAAGAGGCGAGCCCCCTAAGTGTTTCCAGGCGGGTGCGGGTCTGCAGCGGGGGAGGGGCCCAGGCGTGTCTGATGCTGCCTTCCTCAGTGGCTTGGTGAACGCCAGATTTACATCTCACCACTGGTCTTCTAAAACATCTTCGATTTCTTTTTAAATACAAGAAATTGAAGTGTACAGGCAAAGTTGCAGTCGTTCTAGCCCTGGCCCCCGCCGCCCCGGCCCCAGCGGCCCTTCCCCGCACACGCGCCCCGACTGCTGCAGGCCTAGGTTGCTCCCTGAGGCCCCTGCCACCCTGTGGCCGTGCAGGTCCCTTTCTTTACGCAGCATGTTGTCCCCGAGACCCGCCAGTCGTGACACCTGCAGCTCCAGTCTGTTCATTTTAATTGATGACTCTGTTTATTAATTCCTTTACTGACGACGTTCAGGCTCCTCCCGCTGTTCGCTGCAGAATCCACGCTTCTGTGGGTGCTGTCCGTGGCTGCGGCACGCGGGAGTCGCGGCCTTCGAGCAGCTGTCCCTGGGGCTCTCTGTCGAGGGCCAGGTGGCAAGCGTGTCCGGCTTGGAGCCGGGCAGCCTGCGGTGCGGCAGGCCGCGGAGACAGCAGTCGAACGTGTGCGGGCTGTGTTCTGAGGACGCTGTGGTCCCCACAGGACCCAGCCTGGGGCTGTCGCCTGCGACCCTTTCACCAGCGGCAGCTGAGTGCTCTGCACGGCGGCTGCGCCATTTCCTCGCCCTGTGGGTGGAAGTCAGAGCACACACGTGTGCCAGTCACGGTCCAGGCAGGGTCCTGCCACCCTCCAGAGTGGCCCTCGGCCTCCAGAATCCCTTCCGCCCTCCTCTCCTCGTGCCCCACGCCCACCCCTGCAGCCCCTCCGCTGCTGCGCCTCTGCCCTCTAGCGGGCGTTTCTGAGAACTGCGTCGGAGCCGTGTCCTGCGCGGCACTCGCCTGCGGGCTGGCTGCTGTGTGTCCCGCCTGTGCCCAGGCGTCTCCGTGCGCAGCGCCGGCGGACCCCGCCTGTTCCTTGCTCTGCTGAGCCGCCTCGTGGTGCGCTCATCCGCTCACTAGCCAGGGAGCCGCTGGGTGGCTTGTGCTTGGGAGTCGACGAGCGCGGCAGGCGTGCAGCCTGGCCACCGGGCGGACGGACACTGCTGCCCGACGAGAGGGCCGCTGGGTCACGGGGCAGATGCGTGTTCGCCGTGACCGGAGACGTCCGCCTGTTCTCCTGAGTGGTTCCACCATTTTATTGGGTTGGCCAAAGAGTTCCTTTCGTTTTTTTTCCTGCACCATGGCTCTGAGTTGTCTTTAACTGCACTTGAGACACTTGTGTTGGATTGTGTTGTGACAGCAGTCACGTCAGTGTGCATTTAAAAGCCTTTTCAAAACTGGTGAACTTTGTGTAGCCATTGTGATACTGACGATAGGAAACACAACATTTTCGGTGTGTTGTGTTTTGTTGTTTCAAGAAAGGTAGAAATGCAACTGATTCACGAAAAAGAAGAGACTCGTACAGTGCGCAGGGAAGGTGCCAGAAGTGGGTGTGCAGTTCCGTGCTGGAGATTCCTGGCCGGAAGATGCTCTGCGGTCGGGTGGACCAGCTGAGGTTGATAGTGATCAAATCGAGACATTAATGGAGAATGATCAACATTCTACCACATGGGAGATAGCCAATACACTCAAAATACCCAAAGGAATGAAGTTATTGGTGAAAATAAAAATATGTCTTTTATTTTACGGAAAAAGCTAAATGGACTTTTTGGCCAGCCCAACACTTTCCGACCAGCAGTGTGGGAAGGTTCTGGTCCCTCTGCACCCTCGGCCTTTGTGTTTCCTGCTGGTTTCACTGTACATTTGTGCACGTGGCTCCTCCTCCTCGTCCTGATGCTGCCCGCCGGCCGCTTCCCTCCAAGCCGCCCTTCCTGCCCACTTCTCTAGTGGGCGTGTCCCCTCCCAGTTTCTCTCTGAGTTTCTTTTGGGTAATTAATATGTGAATCAGTAAGGATTAGGTTTACCTGTGAGGGGAGGAAAGATCTAGAACGGAGTGGCCTCCACGCTGCAGGAAGTGCTTCGGCTTGTGCGCTGCCGCCCGGAGTGGCCTCGCCTCTCTCCTCTGCTCTCCTGCCCGTCCAACCGCAGGAAGACGGGGCCCGGGGCAGGGGGAGGGCCCACCCTTCCTCTTTCAGGCTGTCCCCTGGGGGCTGTGCACACCCCCTCCAGGTCCTTGTCACCGAGGGAACCGGGAGGTGAATCTTCATTTGGGGCATCACCGGCTCAGCCAACAGTCGAGTTCCATGAACACAGACTGGAGCTTGCCGGAGTTTCTGGCTGCCTGGCCAGCTCAGAAAACGGTGCCGCCGGCAAGCCGCGTGGGTGAACAGAGGAGCCCGCCCACCCAGGGGCTGCTGTGTGGGGGCTGCCCTTGGCGGCAGGGGCCTCCGTGAGCAGAAGTGGGTCGGCCAGCAGTCTCTCCACGGCGTTTCTCTAGGAAGCAGTTTCATTCATATTTTACAAAGTCATGGCCTGAAGATGTTTGAAGTCCACGTTCAGATTTTAAAAATACATTGTAGCTGTAGTTTCCCTTTATTTCAGAAGTGCCATCTTTACCCTGGATGAGACTTTTTAAAAACTACTGAAATAGACACCCTCTAGGAAGGAACCAACTTTTGGTTTTGTAGACAGTCACTTTCCTGATTGTTTTAATTTCATTGATTTCTACTCTTTATTTTTCCTTTTAATTTCTTTAGGTGTCTACTTTTTTTTTATTAAGATTTTATTTATTTATCTTTAGAGGGGAAGGGAAGGAGAGAAGGAGAGAAACATCAATTGTGGTTGCCTCTCGTGTGTCCCCTGCTGGGAACTGGCCTGCAACCCAGGCATGTGCCCTGACTGGGAACCGAACCGCGATTGTGTGGTTCACAGGCCCGCGCTCAATGCACTGAGCCACACCAGCCAGGGCTAGGTGTCTACTCTTTCTAGCTTCTTGTGTGAAGCTTATTAGCTCATTTATCTTTAGTCTGTCATTTTAAAAATTAACATATTAAAGACTTTACATTTTAAGCATGCTTTCTCCTTAAGCTTTAAATTCCTTGAATAGTACATTAACGTTAAATATTAAAGTTTCTTGAATTTTAATGTAAAGTCCTCTGTTACTTCTTTTAAACGTGGGCTACTTAGGTTACTGTTCTTTAGCTTTCAAATAAAGGGTTTTTGAAAAGTCTCTTTACTGACACTGTAGCGGAGCCGCACACGCGAACGGCGCGTGACTCCGACCATTGGGGAGCGAGCCTTTCCCGTGGCCTCGCCGCGGTCGTGTTCGCGTGTGCTCCAGCGGGCACACAGGGCGTCTCTGCTTCCCGCGCCCTGTCCTCATCCCCTGGAGGCGGCTGTCACGCACCCGAAGCAAAGGTCCCTAGTGCCTGCCTCTTACTGTCCATTTCTACAAATGAGCTGTAACGTCCGTGGCTCAGACGTTCCACCTCACTTGGAAACTCGGAGCGAAGATGTCTGCTCTGCTCTGCGCCTCAGCGACTGCGTGCCCGTGGTCTCGGCACTTCTCCCCCGTCAGCGGGGCCTTCGTTTCCATGCTGGGGAAGTGCGAGTCCGCAACCCGGGCGTCTCTCCAGCCTGTCTTTGAAGTTGCATTGGAAGAAAAGCCATTTCTTATTGTGCTGTAGGTTGCATAATGCGTTACAGAGTAAATATGTGACTCAGCCTGCTCCGAGCCGTTTTTATTATCCTGACCCATTTGTTCTCTTTTCAAGAGGAAATATTAAACTTTGTTAGTAGTAAGATATTAGTTCATGCCAACATTTTTTTCCTTCAGATTTATGAAGCTTTTAAAAAACAACCAGAAAAGCACTTTTATTAGTGTTCCTTATGCTTTAAAAGTACTTGTTTTCTAAACAGTGTAAATGAAGGAGCTTCAGAGTACCGGCCGGCCGTTTCCAAGGCGGCCCCCTCGCTGCGAGGGGCCGGGTGGAGGTTCCTGCCTCCTGGTCTCAGCTCCTCCTTCCTCCCGCGTCGTCCTGCTGCTCCCCTGGCCCGTCTGCTGCGACTGGACGTGGATCCCAGACTCCAGCTCCGTTTGCGCGCGTTCGTCCTTTCCCAGCAGACGGAGCGTGTTCCCTCCTGTTTCTCTCAGGGTCTGTGGTCCTCGCCCTCCCGGTGCTGGGGGCCCCGCCTCCCCTCGGGTGGGTGGGCACGCGCGGGTGTGCATACAAGTCGACCTGCACGCGCGCCCGTCTCGCCGCCCGCCTCCGTGGGGAGGGCCCTGGTGGTGACTGTTTTCAGGGAGCGTCGGTTGGGGACTGGAACTGCTGTCTCTTCAAATGCCTGTGGATGGATAAGATGGTCTTATCACAAACACGTCATATTTTAATGACAGTAATTAGCATGTAGCAAACAAGCTAAATTCTTAGGAGAGTCAGGGGTTTCAGTCTACTGTCTCTTGTTCGGTTGATTTAAACAGATCTTTAAACTATTTCTTATGTCGATAGCTAGCTAGATGGTGCAGTTTCAACACAAATACTTTAAGCCTGTTGGAAAGTGCCGCTCAGAGCTCTGGCCCCGCTGCCTCCTGCACTTGACCCCAAGTGGCTTTAGTGTGGGTGTGTGTGGTGCTCGAGTCGGAGTGAAAGGGGCAGACGCCACCGGTCTTCACTGGGGACGCCGTGGAAGCCTCCTGGGGCCACTGGCCGATTTCAGCACTGAAAAGTCGTCGTCGTCGTTGGGATTTCAGGAAGTAAGGTGAGAGTTTGACGTTCCCAAGTAACGCAGTGTCTCCAGGGCACGCAAGCCAGAGTTCTGAGTTTCGGACGTGAAACCGTCACCAGCAAGTCGTCCGCAGTTCTGCTTAAAACCAGCGGCACCCCTGGGCCGTGGCTCGATTCCAGACCGTGAAGCCGGTGTGGAAACCGCAGTCACAGCATGCGTGTAAACTTGGCGAAGGTGGCTGTGAGCACATAGGCCTCTTGTGTGTCGACAAAGGCTGTGATATGGATGGAACATCAGAGTGCTTTTTTTAAAAAAATATTTTATTTATTTATCTTTAGAGGGGAAGGGAAGGAGAGAGGGAGAGAAATATCAATGTATGGTTGCCTTTCATGCATCCCCTGCTGGGAACTGGCCTGCAGGGAACTGGTCTGCAACCTAGGCATGTGCCCTGACTGGGAATCAAACCTCAATTGTCTGGTTCCCAGGCCCGCGCTCAATCCACTGAGCTACACCAGCCAGGCCCACATCAGAGTACTTTTTTAAAAAATTGTATTTATTTTAGACAGGGGAGGGGAGGGAGAAAGAAAGGGAGAGAAACATCAATGTGTGGTTGCCTCTGGTGCGCCCCCTACTGGGGACCGGATGCAACCCAGGCCTGTGCCCTGACTGGGAATCAAACCAGTGACCCCCTGGTTCACAGGCCGGTGCTCAACCCACTGAGCCTCTCCAGCCAGGGCAGAACTATCAGAGTACTTTTACCTGAAAAGAACCCCCAAACCATATGACCTGAGGAAACCGGGTCTTAGAAACACTTCCGAGGCGACAGTCACCTTCTGTGTAGGACGTGCACTCGGTGGGGGGCAGTGTGATGGTGAGGGTCTCAGCTTTCACTCAACTTCACCTCACGTGCCGCGCTCACCACCTGGCAGCTTTCCGCCACTCCTGGCCAACGGGCCGTTCTGGCCCCGGTTCTGGCGGTGCCGTCCGCGTGTGCTCTGCACAGAAAGTGTTTTCGGTCTGGTCCGCGTGGACAGTGTGGGTCTGCAGGAGCCACTTAAGCTGCGCCGCACTGCAGACCCCGGGGCTTAGGCTGACGGACCGTGACAAGGACGTGTGAGGGCCCACGTCCCGCTGGCCCCGGGGTGGGCATCAGGGTGAGAACCGGGGTTCAGGCCGAGGCGGGTCAGACAGGGCTGAGGGCTGAAGCTCGTGGAAAGTGCCAGTCGTCCTGAGAGTGGCCACCAGGGCCACACAAGGGAGCGCCGGCCGGCCACCCAAGCCCAGTGGACGGGGCGGCCCTCGTGCACCCGGAGTCCGTCTCCCGTACCGTGTGCCGTGGTGGTGTCTCCCCTTCTCCACACTCGTCCACCGCGGGCGGCTCTCAGGATCCCCCCCACCAGGGGTCAGCAGCTTCCTCCGGAAGGGTCAGGTGGTCAGGACGTCCGGCTGGGCGTCGGCTCTCTGGCCCCCGTTGTCCAGGTCTGGGGCGCTCTGATGGACGAGTGTCCCCGGTTCCAGGCAGACTTGATTTGCGGGTGCCGGGATGTGAATTTGCGTACACACTGTTTTAACTACTTAAAGGTGCAAACTCTTCTCGGCGTGCAGGCTTCATAAAAGGCTGTGGGCCATCTCCAGGCCCCGTGGCTCTGCCTGCCCGTTTGCCCACGTCTGGCGGGGTTCTGACCGGTCCTCTCACTGCCACCAGGCACTGTGGCCAGCGCACTGCGGGGCCCGCATTCTCAGTGACTGTATCCGGGTAGCCTGGACTTGATTCTCTCCTGCAGATGCTGTGTTTCAAATTTGTGTTCTGCTTGCTGCCCGTGGGTAGGAATTTACAACCAGCTCATTGATAAAGTGATTGTTTTCAAAATGTGCCTGTTGATTCTTTTGTTTCTCTGCTGGGACAGTGGCTGGACACTGACCGGCTGAGAGCCGGATGGAGGTGGGGTGCGAGGAGGTGAAGGGACTCATCCAAGGCCGGGCTGACCGGGGACTGGTGAGCTGGCCTCGGGGTTCACCCCCAGCCCGTGCCCTGCCCCTGAGCACACCCGAGTCGCACCTCCGCGCCCTCCTGCCCGGTCCTCAGCCTCCCTCGGATGCCTGACGGCCCCACCACGCCTCTCCCTCCCGCGTTTCATCGGGGCCGCTCCGGACAGACCCCGTTCTGACCCCGTGGCAGCACACACACACACACACAGAAAGCCCGCTTCCCTTCCCAGCGTGGGGCGTGGTTGCCAGTGGGCGTGGGCCTCAGTCTTGCTTTTTCTGCTGCGATCAACGTGACTCACTTAATTCCCCAGGGGACGCGTACAGCTTCCTCATCTCGATCAACTACTCTCATGTTCCTGGGACAAAACCGGCGTCACTGGCGTGTTGTCTCTTTGTCCAGTCGCTGTTAGGTTCTCGGTGCTAATGAGTGTTTTCCCACCTACATTCGTGGTGAGACGGCCCCTGGTTTTCTTCCTGTGACCCTGGTCTGATCTTAGCCCCCAGTTAGGGGTGAACGGGAGGCTCTGGTGCAGGGGCTCCGTCGACTAGAGCGTCCTCCCAACACGCCAGTGTGGCAGGTTCGACGCCGGGCCGGCTCGCGCAGGAGTCAGCCCGTGAGTGTGTGAATGGGCGGGGCAGCAGGCGGACGTCTCTCCCTCGCTTCTTTCCTACTCCTCTCTCTAAGATGAATTTTTTAAAAGGCTTCTGACAGTGAGGAGACACACGTTTAAAAGCGCGAATGGAGAGAGTCCTCTTCTCTCCTCCAGGGCGAGCTGTGGGCGTGGGGCCTGTGCCTACTCCAGCATGGTGCTGCTGGCCGTGGCCTCGCTGTCCGGGGGCGGGTGGGCAGCCTCCCTCCCTGCATACCTGCCCAGGTCCCCGGCTTGCCTTCTTGAGGGAGGGTCTGCCCTTCCTGTGGCCAGCAGGAAGGCCTGGTGAGCTGGGTTCCTTGGCGTCTGAGCCGGGGAGGGGTGCAGTGAGGTGCACACAGGGTCAGGTCCCCTTCCTGAGCTCCCGTGACAGGACCGCAGTAAGAGACTCCTGCACCCTCCCTGCAGCGCTGTTCCCGCTCCCCGCCCTCCCGCCTCAGCACTGAGCGTCCTCCTCTCTCCACATCTCTCCTTGACGGCAGGAGAAGTCGCTTGTCTTGGAGTCAGCGTGGAAGAAGGAGAAGGACGTCGTCTCCAAGGAGATAGAGAAGTTGCGGGTGTCCATCCAGACCCTGTGCAAGAGCGCGCTTCCCCTGGGCAAGATCATGGACTACCTGCAGGAGGACGTGGACACCATGCAGAACGAGCTGCAGCTGTGGCGCAGCGAGAGCCGGCAGCACGCGCAGGCCCTGCGCCGGGAGCAGAGGTGGGGCGTGGTGTGGGCGGGGTGGGGCCGGGCCATGGTGGGCGTGGTGTGGGCGGGGCGGGGTGAACCTGGATCTCGGTGGGTGGGGGCGGTGAGGGGAGTCTACCAGACACTTGGGGTCTACCAGACAGCCCACAGAGCCACACAGCCAGGGTGAAGCAGCACCTATCACAGCAGCGGTTTGTGGGGAAGCACCTGGCAGAGCGCACGCAGTCAGACGTGAGGCCCGAGTAACACGCACGTCTAGAAAGCAGGGACAACACGATTCAACAGCACGCTCCGCATGCACACCAGTCTGCTGCAGCGGGACTAGCTTTGTCCGCTTTGGTGCCGGCTAAAGCACGGTTTTCTGCCCCCAGAACCAAAGCGGGCAC